TGTATAAGTGTAATTTTTTTGTTGTTTTGAAATCCATTTTATTTTCAAAGAGAAAAAAATTCAAAACACATCAGTTGGGGCAGCAACAACGGTACATACATTGAGCATTGTAATCCCCAAATCATTCACCCAGAGCAAAAGACATCTGCATTCAGTTGTCTGAACCATACCAGCACAAATCTTTCTCTTCAGCAAACTCAGAGAAATCAGTAGTATAATTATCTTAACTATCTTTTTACATACAAATATGTATTTATATGTTGTTCCTTTTAGCTTCTCATGCTAGAGACAATATTTTTTTTTAATTTTGAAGAGAATAAAACCAAGTGAAAAAAATAGAGTCAATCAAAACAATGAACAACTTTAAAGCAAAATACAAGGAAATCAATAATGGCTACCATAATGCCTCTTGTTATCTTCAAAGTAGTTGTCTATACCGTTAGACATGATACAATCAAACAAAACAAAATAGAATAAAATCAGTCAAAATAAAACAATGAAAGCCATATAGGGCTTCAAAAGAAGTTAATAGGAAATCAATAATTGCTACCATAATATATTTTGTTATCTTTGAAGTGACTGTCCATGCCATCAAATATGGTAAAATTAAACAAACTAAACAATGAAAACAATGTGGGTTTCAAATCATGATAATAGATGAACAATGGCCATGGCCTTCCCTTTTTCGACAATTCCTTCCCCTTCACTTTCACAATATGTATTTGTACATTTTGGATCCCACTAATTCCTTTAGTTTTTTTATTATGTGGAGATAACACAGTATTTACCCATGTGATTCTGAATCATTTCAGTCCATGAGCATGATGTCAAGTTCTATCCATTTACCTACAAAAGCCTCCAGGTTATCTTCTTCATAGCTTGGTAGCTTTCCTTTGTGTAAAACTGCCATGTCTTTCTTATGTACTCTGCAGCTGATGGACAAGATACCCCCACTTCTATCTGGTTCTGTGTCACATGCAGCACTGTTTTCTCTCCTCTGACTTTCAGTCTGGGAACCCCCTTTCAGGTTGTGTGTTTCTTGTATAAAGCATATTGATGGATCCTGTCTCCTGATCTACTCTTCCTGTTTATGGCCAGCGTGCTCTGCCTCGTCTCTGTCATGCTATTTTCCTCCTGTGGTTGCCTACTTTTTCCCTCCATTCTATTGTCTGCCCCACCCAGTGATACCCCTCTGCTGCCATTCCTGGAACCATAGTCTTTTTTTTTTTTCTTTTTTTTAAATCTTTCTCTAAAACATTCTTTATTATTCTTTTTAGGGTTGATTTGGTGGTCATGAATTCCTAATTTCTTCTTGTTTCTTTATTTCAGTTGTCATCACTTCAGAAATTTCAGGTGTGTGACTCCTGATCTTTTCCATGCTTACATCTCCTGGACCAGCTCTGCTTGAGTTGGAGGCCAGAAACTGCCTTTTGATTCTTTATCTTGACATATTCCTGGCTTCTTCAGACAAGTGGATAGTGGGGTCCCAGGCTCTTCCTGTATTGGCTACACTTTCTCTGAAGCAAGACTGTTTGGTTCTTCCAGCCAGTGCTGGTTAGGGGTATCTGATGGTGGCCATTGGGTGTGCTGGTGCAGGGCTGTCTGCTACGTTTCCAGGCTTTCAGGGGCTCACTGATGGTTGGTAGACTGTGCAGGGGCAGGGCTGGCCACTGCCTCCAGGCCAAGCTGGCTACCAGCAGTGAAGTCAGTGATGGCTGCTGGAATGCACATGGCAGTGGAGCTCTGCGTGAACAATTTCTATGTCTGCTCCCACCTAGGAGCTGCCTGAGGGATCTGGATTCAGTTCTGGTTCTAGGCTTATCTGGCCTGACTCCAAAATGGCTCCTGGCCAATCGCCCTCTCTTGTGGGAAGACCGAGTCCTCTGCATTCAGTGCCAGCTAGGGAAATCCTCTTGCACTCCCCTCCACCACCATGTCTCTTTGCAGAGGCCTCTGGGGTCACTAGCCATCACTGTCAACATGACCATGTGTCCCCAGATTCCAACAGCTTCTCTTGCCCAGCAGGACCAGCTCTAGGCAAAGACACCACCAGCTACTGCCTTCTCCTTCACTTAAGTTTTTCTTTTTTACTCTCTCTGTAGACTTCAATTCTCACTTCAGATTTTTCTTGGATCCAGGGGACCCACTTCCTCTTTTCCTGTCTTCCCCATGATGCTATATTCCAGCATCTGGACTGTTTCTCTTACAGAGGCTGTTTACTCTGCTGTTTACTGCTCCACCATCGTTCCTGACAATATGATGTTTTCACATGTTTCTGATTTATTTCACTTAATAAGTATGGTCTCAAGTTGTATCCACTTACATATAAAAGTCTCCAGTTTATCCTTCTTTATGACTGAGTAATACTCCATTGTATAAAAATACTGCATCTTTTTATCCACTCTTCAGTTGATGGACACTTAGGTTGTTTCTAAGATCTAGCTGTTACAAATTGTGCTGCGATAAACATGGGAGCACATATATTACTCTGGTATGATGTCTTTAAATCTTTAGAGAAGATACCCAGAAGGGGAGTAGCTGGGTCAAATGGAGCTCTGGTATTAGAATATTTGAGGAACAGCCACACTGATTTCCGTGGTAGTTGCACCAGTCTACATTCCCACTAACAGTGGAGAAGTGTCGCTTTTTCCCCACAACCCTTCAAGCATGTTATTGGTTGACTGCTTGATACTAGCCATACTTTCCAGAGTAAGGTGGCATCTCAGTGTTGTTTCTTTTTTTTTTCTCAGTGTTGTTTCAATTTGCATCTTTCGAATGACCAGTGATGATGAACATGTTTTCACTATTTATTTGCTGCTTGTATTTCTTCATGTGAGGATTATTTATTCATCTCAGATGCCCATTTTTTGATTGTGTCATTAAATCTGGGAGGACTGGCTTTTTTGTTTGAGGAACATTTTCTCCCACGTGGTGGGCTGTCTCTACACTATGCTGGTGGTTTCCCTTTCTGTGCAAAAGCTTTTCAATACAGTGATATCCCAGTTGTGGATTCTTTGTGATAGTTTCTGTGTAATAAAGGTTTTGTTCATAAAGTCTTTGCCTAGACCAATGTCTTCAAGAGTTTTACCTACTCTGTCTTCCAGCAGATTTAATGTTTCTGTTTTAATATTTAGATCTTTGATCCATTTTGATTTTAGCATAGTCCGTGGTGAAAGATATGGGTCTATGTTTAATCTTTGGCATGTGCAGAGCCATTTTTTCCAGCACCATTTGTTAAAGAGACTATCTTTCTTCCAGTGAATGTGTTTGGCAGCTTTGTCAAAGATAATGTGTTTTAGTGTGTCTGCATCTTCTAATCTATTCCATTGATCTTTGGGTCTGTCTTTTGCCAGTACCATGCTGTTTTTATCACAGTAGCTTTATAGTATAATTTCAAGTCACAAATTGTGATAGCCCCTGTCTTGTCTTTGTTGCCCAGGATTGCCTTTACAATTCCAGATCTCTTCTGGTTCCAGATGAGTTTTAGGATTGTTTTCTCTAGTTCTGTGAGATATACCATTAAAATTCTTATTGGAATTACATTGAATCTGTATACAGATTTGGAAGTATGGCCATTTTCACTATATTGGTTCTTCCTTCCCAAGAGCACAGGATATCTCTCCATCTTCTAATATCCTCCCCAATCTCCTTTTCCAGAATACTGTAGTTTTCAATATAGAGGCCTTTTATGTCCTTTGTTAGATTGATTCCTAGGTACTTCATTTTTCTGGATGCTATTGTGAAGTGTGTTATTTCCCTCATATTTCTTGCAGCGAGTTTGTTATTTGTATACAAAGAGGCTATTGATTTTTTTTTTTTTTTGTCTTTTTCATTTTTACCGGTACCGGGGATTGAACTCACGACTGCCTGCTTGCAAGACAGGCGCTTATGCCACTGAGCTAAATCCCCAGCCCTGGCTATTGATTTTGGATAGTTGACTTTTTATCCAGCTATATTACTGAATTTACTTATTAAATCCAATAGTCTTTTGGCAGAGTTTTTGAGGTCTTCTACGTAGAGAATCATGTCATCTGCAAATAACAATAGTTTAATTTGTTCCTTTCCTATCTTTATTCCATTTATTTCTCTCACTTGTTTAATTGTTCTGCCTAAAGTTTCCAGGAGTATGTTGTAAAAGAGAGGAGACAATGGACATCTTCATCTTGTTCTTGATTTTAGAGAGATAGATTTCAGTTTTCGTTCATTTAGTATGATGTTGGCTGTTTGTCTTAAATGGCTTTTATCAGATTGAGATAAAGATCACCTATTCCAATTTTCTGTAGAATTTCTATCATAAATGCACTTTGTCAAAAGCTTTTCTGTATCCATTGAGATGACTGTATGATTTTTGTTCTTGGCTGTTAATATGGTGTATTACATTTATGAATTTATGTATGTTGAATCATCCCTGCATCTCTGGGATGAATCCTACTTGAGCAAGGTATACATTTTCTTGATGATTTGCTATAGTCTGTTTGCCAGTATCTTATTGAAAATTTTTGCATCAGTGTTCATTAGGGAGATTGGCCTATAATTCTCCTTCTTAGTTGAGTCATTCTCTGGTTTTGGTATCAGGGTAATAATAGATTCCAGGAATGAGTTTGGGAGTATTGCATCCCTTTCAATTTCCTTAAAGAGGTTGAGGAGTAATGGTATTAGGTTTTCTCTAAGTTTTTTTGTAGAATTCAGCAATGAATCCATTAGGGCCTGGGCTTTTCTTTGTTGGTAAGTTCTTAATTATATCTTTGGTTTCATTGATTGATATTGGAGTTTTTATTAGGATTTTTATATCTTCTTGCTTCAGCTTTGTAATTCATATGTATCTAAGAATCTATCCATTTTTTCTTTATTTTCCATCTTATTAGAATACAAATTTTCAAAGTAGATATAGATGATCTTCTGGATTTCTGCAGGATCTATTGTGATTTCACCCTTTTAATTCCTAATTGTGTGGATTTCAGTCTTATCTTTTTTTATAAGATTGGATAACAGTTTGTCAATTTTGTTTAATCTTTCAAAGAACTAATTCTTTTTTATTTAAAGAGAAGAAAGAAAAAAACAAAGCAGTAAAAGGGTACAAGTAATACAGAATTTCAAGAAAAATAATATACTGTAAGAAATCACTAGTTAACAGATTACATATTGTGATCTTAGAAACAGTTGTCCTAATTACAAAATTAAAGCATACAAAGTGGACATCCATACAGTGAGACTGCAGACAGTTCTGTTCAATGATTCAATAAAAACTCAGTAATATGATTTTCTATCCTACACACTTAAATATACATGCAGTTATATCCTTTAGACCACTTTCTTTTCCTCTCTTTTTTACAATAACAATTACACTTTTTGGATTTTATTACTTCCACCAAAGAACTAATTCTTTGATTCATTGATTCTTTGTACTGTTTTTTAGTCTCCAATGCATTAATTTTTGCTCTGACCTTTAAAATTTTCTCCCTTGTATGAGTTTTTGGTTTAGCTTGCCCCTCTTTTTCTAGAAAGTTGAGGTTCACCATTAAGTTGTTTATATACACTTGCTGTGTTTTCCTGATATGGGCATTTACTGATAAGACTGCTTTCATTGTGTCCTAAAAGTTCCAGTATGTTGCATTATCATTATCATTCAATTATAAAAACTTTCTAATTTATTCTTTAATTTCACCTGTGACCCATTGGTTGTTTATTAGGATGCTATGTAATTTCCATGTATGTATGAAATTCTTCTGGTTTCTTTTGCCAGGGGTTTCCAATTTCACTGCACTGTGGTCTGATAGTATGCATGGGATAATTTCAATTCTCTTGCATTTACTTAAGCATGTTCTATGAGCCACTACGTGGTCTATTTTGGAGAATGCTCCATGTGCAGATGAGAAGAATGTGTATTCTGATGTAGTGGGGTGGAACACTCTATAGACACCTACTAACTCTTTGTATTTAAAAGTTTTCCTTAGTTCTAATATTTCATTATTGATTTTTTTGCTAGTTGATCTGTCTTTTTGTGACCATGGGGTATTGAGGTCTCCCAACAGAATTGTGTTAAGTCTTATTTGATTTTTCATGTCCATTATATTTGTTTTACGTAGCTGGATGCATTGGTATTTCTTGTATGTATATTTATGATTGTTATCTTTCCTCTTGGATTGTTCCCTTTATGAGAATGTAGTGACCTTCTTTATCTTTCTTAATCAGTCCTGGCTTGGAGTTTACTTTATCTGCAAGTAGAATAGCAAACCCTGCTTGTTCCAGGGTTCCTATAACATGAAGTATTGTTTTCCATCATTTGATTTTCAGCCAGTGAATTTCTTTTTGAATTAAATGCTTCTTGTATGCAGGATATTGTTGGATCTTGCTTCTTGATTTATCCTGCCAGTCCATGTCTTTTAACTGGTGAAGTGAGACCATTAAAATTGATGGTTATAACTTACATGTATTGACTTATCATTTTCATGTTGTTGGCTTCTCCTCTTTGTTCCCTTCCTTTTAATTGTTTGCTTTCTCTGGTGGATTCCATCTATGGGGGTTCATGGAGTGGTAGTCCTTGTTACCTCTTTCTAGAACATTTTGGAGTGCTGGTTTGGTGGTCAGAAATTTCTTCAGATGTTCTTTGTCATGGAAGTGTCTTATTTCTACATCAATTTTGAAAGATAGTTTTGTGGGGTACATCAATCTGGGTTGAAAGTTGTTATCCTTCAGAACTTGGAGTAGTTCAAACTCTCCTTGATTTGAGAGTTTGTGCTGAGAAGTCAGCTGTGATTCTTATGGGCTTTCCTTTATAGGTGAATTGTTTCTTGTCTCTAATAGCTTTTAAGATTCTATTCTTGAGTTTAATTTCTAAAATCTTAACTATGATGTGCCTGCATAGTTTTTTTGATCATTGCTAACTGGAGCTCCATAAAACTCATTTATCTTTGTGTCAAATTCTTGTTCTCTGCCAAGAAAGTTTTCTGCCCTGATGTCTATGAACATTTTTTCATTTATGGTACCTCCTGAGTTTTCATTGATGCCAATCAATCTCAAGTTATTTTTCTTTGTAACATCTAGCAGCTTCTGGATTGATTTTTCATGGTCCCTTGCTATTTTTGATATATTTTTCTTTTCCTGATCACTGACTATAAGCCTGTCTTCAATATCTGAGATTCTGCCTCACATTGGCCTAATCTGCTTTGAATGTTTTCAATGAAGTTTTTATTCTCCTGGCTATCTGCTTTAAGGATTCTATGTCTTTCCTATGCTGAACTTCCATAATTTTCTTAAGCCTACCAATTTTTTTGTCTATATCTGCTCTGACATTTCTAAGCATGGTAATCTCTGTAGTTATCTGAGAGATTACTTCTGATTCCATTTTTTTCCATAGTCTCATTCAATTGCTTTGTTGTTACCACTTCAGAGAGGCCTGGTGGAGGGCTTTCAGATTGTTCCAGCTCATTGCCCGCTGGATTTAGTCATTTTGTTTAGGTGTATTCTCATTATCATTTGCTTACTGGACATTTGTAAATTTGTTTCTTAAATATTTCTTCATTTGCTTTTAGGTTCATTTCCTGAGGGCTCTTTTTTTTTTGTCTTTTTGAGATAGGGTTTCATTATGCAGTTCAGCTGGACTTCAGCTCACTTTGTAATCTAGGCTGACTTCAAACTCACAGCAATCTGATCCGTCCCGCAGATCAGTCCGTTGGCCTTTGCCTGGAGAGGGGAACAGGGATGAAGGGCAGGGCAAGAGAAAAGAGAGATGAAGGCTTGGCGGGATTCCATTCAAACCTCGTTTATTTTTAAAATGGCTACAACTTATATAGGGTGGAGGCGGGCCAATGAGGCAGAAAGAGGGCACAGAGTGTTATCTGATAGGTCATCCTCACATCCGGATATATGACGTAAGAAGGAGAGGATCATGGGAAATGTAGGCTGAAGCAGGAAGTTGCTTACTTCATGCACATTGTAGGCAAGGGGAGGATCATGGGAAATGTAGCCTGACACACAAAATGCCTTCAGGTGGGAGGGGGAGGGCAGCAGCTGCCATTCTGAGCCGCTCCCTGCATCTCCTCCCTTATTATGTATATTTTTTAGGAACATGGAAGGCCCTGGGAGGACAGTGCCTGTCTTGGGTCAAGGACTCCTCATATGAACCCAATCGAGCCTTACCCGTCATGGGCCTGCAGGACAGCTGTTGGTCCTGGACCTGTCTTAGGTGGCTGATTGGCACTACATATGTGTCCTAGTTGCCCATCTCTGGCTGCCTGTCCAGTGCCTCAGGGCAGTAGGGCCACAGTATCATGTGGGCCATCGGTGGGTGATCTTTCCTGATAAGTTTGTTGTTCTGCCATTTCCAACCGGTGGTAATGTACCTGAATGGGCTTTGCCATAAATGTGTCAATCCTGTTATTAACGTTATTAATGAGCGTCATGATCCTCTGACAAATAAAGGTCCTACAGTAAGCAGTAACAGCAAGGCAGCTAGGGGTCCCAAGAGGGGGGCAATGTAAGGGAAGAGACCCCCCACATGAAGGAGAAGGTGGTGGCTCCAAGGCGCTCTTTTTCTCTCTCTTTGAGGCACTCTCTTAGTTTACTCATGGACTCTTTGACGACTCCTGAGTGGTCAGCATAAAAACAACACTCTTCCTTGAGGGCAGCACATAAGCCACCCTCCTTCATAAATAGGAGGTCTAGCCCTCTTCTATTCTGTAGGACTACCTCAGATAGAGACGTCAGGGACGCCTGTAGAGCCATCACAGATGTTTCTATTTCTTTTAAATCCTGATCTACTGCTGCCTGTAATTGAGCTAGATGCTGATTTCCCAACACTAGAGCCATAGTCCCTGTTCCTATTCCCGTTGTGACTCCTAACCCTAGTAATACAGCTAAGGTGAGTGTCGCAGGTTCTCTCTTAAATATATAGCCGGTCTGCGATGCCTGGAGGTAGTAGTCTCCTGGGTGGAAGGCTATTTGAGGAAGAACCTGTTCAAGAACACAAAAATCTGTAGACTTGTTAAAAACAGTAGTTGCTATACAGGGTGAGAGGCCAAAATTGCAGGCCCAAGACGTTCCTGGGGGTGGAATGAGGTAATTATTTGGCTTGAACTCTGAATGAAGCTGGGCACAGAGTTGTGCTGCCAATGCTGGTGGATGGCTGGAGTCCCCAAGACCAGTCCCTCTACCTGAGACGTCAGGGAGAGTCAGCTTGTGGTGATTGCCCCAGTCACAGGCAGATGAGCTAGAAGAACTGTGAAAGGTTAAATTGAGGGCCTTTCCTTCGTAATATGGGGGAGGAGCAGCCAAGCATAGCCAACAGGATTGGGTGAGATCAGGTTGGATATGATTTAAAGCCGTGTGTGCCCCTTTAGTCAAACTGAATAGGTTAGAATGTGAATATTGAGGGGCAGGTATATGATCTGCTGGTGTGGCAGGGCTTGAGAAACCCTTATGGTTGGGTGACTTACTGTGGTTGTTTGAACAGCAGTAACAGGATCTGTATTGGACTGATTGTATTTTGGATTTGGATTATATTTTGGCTTTAGAGCAGGATTTGGGCCTATGGGCATGGATGAAATCTGTAGGGGAACTTTTTTTATGAGAATAAGATTTCCCCTGTTTTTGCCTGACTCAAACTCGAAGTCCCCAAGTGCGTCCTGTCAGCCAGCCAGGGTCTTCAGGAGTGGTGACAGGGATGTTTAGAACCTGACAGGGTCTTTGATTGGCGGTGGGTAGTCATCTATGCTGCACCCCAGCGGCCCATGTCAGTTTAAGGTGTTTATCGGGGAAGGCGGGTTGCCACCCTGTTGCAACTGTTTCGCAGCCCCAACGAGCACAAAAATATTCTCCCGGGGAGTTACAATATGATCTGCCCCCTGTTGCTGTGGGACAAAGGTAGAATTGACTTTATCTGGGACATTGGAGCTCTGGAAAGAACCAACAGGGTGTGGGCGCAAACCATGGACTTCCTGATCCTACCCAAGTCCAAACCACCTCTCGGTCTTTCCAGTGACTAAGCTCCCATTTCTTTCTTTCTTTCTTTCTTTCTTTCTTTCTTTCTTTATTTATTTATTTTTTTTTTTTTTAACCTCGACTTGTAAGAATGGATAAGCTCCCATTTCTAGGGTAGATATGGTGGTATGGAGAAGGGAGCATGGCAGTGCCATTTTTTTTTGTCTTTTTTAATAAAAACAACCCTACATTTATTGCCCCCAGTAAAAACATAAGGGTAGACAAAACAATACGAACAAACATTTCACAAATACTCCCAAGGCAAACCATTTAATCAGCTGCCTTTTATGGGTACACACTGTAATTGACATTTATCTTAATTGCCTGCCATTGCTTCTCACTGCTGTCTTAATTCACTGACCATTTCTAGTCAGAGTAATATTATCTCCTTTCAGCATGATCCTACCCAGTTGTTTTCTTGACTTGGTTTTAGAATGAATTTCTTCTGCATCATCTAATCGCTGTTATTTTTTGTTTGTTTGTTTGGTTTTCTTTTTGGCTTTTTCCTTTTTATCAGTACCGGGGATCAAACTCACGACTGCCTGCTTGCAAGGCAGGCGCTTTTGCCGCTGAGCTAAACCTCCAGCCCCTATTTTTTTTCTTTTCTTTTCTTTCTTTTTTTTTTTTAACCACCAGAGTCAGTATGGAGGCAGCGCCATTTTGAGTACCGGGGCAGTGCATGCCATTTTGAGTACCCTCGTGGCCTCCAGACAAAGGGAGTGGCGGCACGCCACCATCTTGAAAAGGCTCCAGGATCAAGGACCACGGAGCCGGGAGGGCTGGGCGCCTTAGATAAGCCCGGTGGAGGCGGAGTACAATTGTGGGAGGCAAATAATGCAGCCTCACCCTGGGCGACCTGGGGATCTGCGTGATGTTGTGTCAGCAGCTCAGAGATTAAAACCCAATATGAAAAAGCAGTTACGGGAATCTTTTTTGGGCCAAAAACTTCATAATAGTCTTTAAAAGTGTCTCCTACTCTTTTCCACCTGTTTAAATTAATGGTACCCCTTAGGGGGAACCATGGACACACTGAATGTATAAACTGAAAGTACTTTATCAATTCTTTGTCTTAACCTTAATCTCTCTAGCCTTGAGTGCCTCCCAGAGGCCAATCATGAACAATTCGTGCTCACTGAGTGCTTGCCCCATGCTAATTCCGTTCACCTACCGTAATTCAGGTGAGACGTAAGGTGGCCGTCTGCACAGATCACAGGAACGAAGTCCCGAAACAGTCACGCTGGCCAGCGCTTTACTCCCGTGAACGGTCCCACGTCATTATCCCTTGTTCCAGGTCTGCCCCACGGTTGGGCGCCACTTGATCTGTCCCACAGATTGGTCCGTGGGCCTTTGCCTGGAGAGGGGAACGGGGATGAAGGGCAGGGCAAGAGAAAAGAGAGACGAAGGCTTGGTGGGATTCCATTCAAACCTCATTTATTTTTAAAATGGCTACAACTTATATAGGGTGGAGGCGGGCCAATGGGGCAGGAAGAAGGCAGAGTGTTATCTGATAGGTCATCATCACATCTGGATATATGACGTAAGCAGGAGAGGATTATGGGTAATGTAGGCAGACATGAGGATCATGGGAAATGTGGGCTGAAGCGGAAAGTTGCTTATGTCATGTGCATTGTAGGCAAGGGGAGGATCATGGAAAATGTAGGCTGACACACAAAATGCCCTCGGATGGGAGGGGCAGGGCAGCAGCAGCCATTCTGAGCCACTCCCTACAGCAATCCTCCTTCCTCAGTCTCTCAAGTGCTAGGATTGTAAGTGTGCACCACCACACCTGGCTCCTGAGCCTTTAAATGTTTGGGGCCTTTAAAAAAATAATTTTTACCAGTGAGAGAGATTGGCCAGGAGCCATGTTGACATGGGTCAACTGAGCTCAGAATCTAGAACTTCTGTTAGCTCCATATAGTGGCTCCCAGCTGGGCTCAGACTTGTAGAAATTGCTTGGGCCATGCCGAGCCTGATGAGTCTGATCTCAAGGCAGGCCTTGAGATTATTCACTACCACACCAAAAAGCTACTGCTGGATTATTGGGATAGATCTACATGATTCAAGACTCTGTCTCCACAGGTTGTCTGTTGGGAGCCGCAGCCCCGAGCCCGGTCGCCTTACTTGGCGGACGTGCGGCCTGTAGTAAAGAGCAAAGCCTGAGGTAGATTACCCCTCCCATCGAGTACGCCAGTTTCCTGCTTACCGCGTAAGCAACCCGCTCAACAATATAGTCTGCCTGGCAACTGATGATGTTAGCCAATCAGCTTGCCTTGCTTACTTTAACATGATTGGACACTGTACCCGTATATATACTGGTGCCACCCCTGGGAGGAAGTAGAAGCCAGGTAGAAGCCCGGAAGTAGAAGCCCAGAAGGAGCCGCGGAGAGCGGACCGATAGAGGCTTCGGGGCAGACTGAAGCACAAGAGGAGCCGCGGAGAGCGGACCAAAGGAGGCTTCAGCTGGGAGAACCCAGGGCAGGCTGTACGGAGAAGAAGAATAAAAAGAAAAGGTTGTCCACTCCCAGACTTTGTCGTGTGTCCTTCCGCCGGCCAGAAGCGACCGCGACAGTTGTCTACTAGTGAAACCAGAGAGAATCCTGGAGGTGGACTATTTGTTTTAGTTTTTTCTTTTCTTTTTTTTTCTCTTTCACCTTTATATGCACGTGAATGTGGTCCTGAGCTTCTTTGAGGGCGTGGTTCTGTTCTGTTCTTCCTTTTATTTCTTCCATCTCTCTTTTCCTTCAATTTTATGCATTAATTTCCCAAAGTTGGTGTGATCCCTCTTTGTCCTCCAATTTTACTTCTAATCTCTTCCTTTTCTTTCACGTCTCTATTTTCTCCTTAATCCATTTTAACCCCTGAATGCAAAATTGTAGGACTTATACACATTAAGGACTTACAAACACTCAGGTAGAATTAAAGCACCAGCAACAGAAGGAAAAGTTAGCAGATTTTTAATTGCATCAAATTAAAAACTTTTCTTCAAATGATAAAATGAAAAATGAGTTATGAGGCTTGTATTCAAAATATGTAAAGAATTCTCTCTTTTTTTTAGTGATACTGGGATTGAATCCTTAACCTTTTCACTGAGCCATCCCACTTCTTTTGTTATTTTGAGACAGGATTTCATTAAGTCATTTAATTTCCTAGGATGAGCTAGGCATGGCTTAGGGGCAGCTGTGCATGGCAGTTGAGGCAGATATCAAAAGTGACAACAGCAAAAAAGCAAAATAGAGGAGAAAATCTCTTTCACTGTCTCATATTGTGTGCAGGTTACCCACCCAGGGCAGGTGCAGCACTGACTACCAATTTCAGCAGTAGACAGTGAGCCAGTCACAAACTCTAGATTCAGCCACCCTCAAAAGTCCTGCCACCCAAGACTGCATGAGACTTTGGGGGGGGGGACATCCAGACACAAACCATAGCATACTCTGCTTCTGTACTTTCTGCTTACTTCTGCCATATATGCCTCAAACTACCAAGGATCAGGGCCTAACATTTTTATAAGGATTGCTACCTTGTCAGTGTCCATTGATGTAAGTAAATATGCCTACAAATCCTGGTTGATATTTTGATGTTTCTGTTTACTGTAATATCTGGTCCACCAGCCAGGAAGTCTGACTATGCTGACCTCTTTGGTCATCAGTCATGATCCTTGCAAATGGAGGAAGTACTTTTCCAGGTCCTGAAAGGAAGTCATGCCCTCAAGATTTCTAGAGTCCCCTCAGATATCTGGAGGAGGAGTCAGCTCCCTGTTCAATCAGCTCACATTGGAGCCAAAAGGAAGAGTGACACACTCTAGCCTAGTCATTGGAGCACCCCAGTTAGTGCCTGTCAGTTCTACCCAACTCAAGCAGGAAACCCTGATCAACTCTCATTAGTTAGGGCCACCCTCAAGGGAAGGAGGTTGGAATGTTTAACCTCTGGATGTCTGCTAATGACTGTGTGTTTATAATGGGTGGCAAAAACAATACGCTGTTCCATCTGTACTCCACAGTGAGAAGGAGGACAACCATTCCAAACTACAAAGTTTGATTGCAACCCAACTTGCAGTTCTGTGCCTGCATCTAATAAAAACAAAACAAAAACCTACCAGTGCTTCTCCACAGTCCAGACAATACCAACATTGCCAAGAGGTAAGTGGCTAGGTGGGCATCTGAATGGTTCTCTTTCTGGGGGGCACTTGCCCTTTGTCTGTTGTGCCATTGTTCAGAGTACATAACATACATGTAGGAAATCAGAAATGGGAACTAACTGTCAAAACCTACAGTCTTTGACTGTAGGCAAAAAAAAAATTTTAAAGGGCTTCTCTGGTGACTACAGAGTTAAAATCAAATTGCTGTTCCCTGAGCCTGAACATTGTGAGTGTGTGTGTGTGTGTGTGTGTGTGTATACTGCTAATGGAATTCAGTGGTTTATATGGTTAAGCACATGCCTTATTACTAAACTGTATCGCCAGCCACATTGTTGTAATTTGCATCTTTCAAAAAATTTTGTTTGATTCATCTAAATTGTTGTGGTCTCCTTGTCTTAACAAACACAGACTTCTATTTTTTTTTTTTTTGCCTTTGTCATTGAATTGGATGAGATGTAGCAGCTTCAGTGCAGAGTTGGTATTTTTAAGATATGTTTTCTTTTGCTTAGTTACCATAGTAATATTGATTAGACAATTTTGAAAATAACACACAAGCCTAAAAAGAAAGTAAATGTCACCACCAATCACACTGCCCAGAAATAAATTATTAACACAGTGCACTAATTTTGTTATGATAATTTATGACAAAAATAGTAATTCTTAAATGGACATAAAGTGAAATGGATTTTTTTTGTCTTTTTTGTTTTTATTGGTACCAGGGATCGAACTCATGACAGCTTGCTTGCAAGGCAGGCACTTATGCCGCTGAGCTAAATCCCCAGCCCCTTACTTTTTTTTGTCTGGATTTTTCTAAGAGGATAGAAATTACAGGAAATTATAGATAGCATTGTCCTCTTGGGAGGAGTTCTTTAACCTTTCTGTGTTGGACCAGGGATTAGATAGAGTACTGTTCCTAGAGCAAGAATGGTCAGTCAGATGTGTGTCACTATGACAAAATACCTGAGAAAAGCAACTTAAGGATAGAAAATTTAGTCTGATTCATGGCACAGACCTCACAGAAGTCTGCATCAGCATCTGACTGTGGTCCCAAGTCTCCTTCATAATCTTCAGAACACATCTTAGAATATAATAATAATAATAACTGAAGTGAATATTTTTGTCAAAGTTAAGAAGCTCATCATGTTCCATCCTGTAATCCTTGTCAGAAAAGTCTCAGCTCATTAGTTTCAGATTTACCCACATGGACTGCAGCTACCCTGTCTGGCTGGGCCTGGGATGTTATCCTGGGAATCACCCACAGTGGCAATTTTTCAGCTTTCTCTTTTCTGATGTTAAATAATATTTCTGTTTAAAATGATTAGAATATTCTCTGTCTCCTACATCTGAACTCTCTTGAATTATGGGGTTTTGGAAGAAGACCTGACAGCCCCCAGAGAAAATACTAGCTTGACTATGAAAGAGCAGTCATCATTCTGTTCTTGTCAAGATCCCCATGAAAAGCTAAACAGGTATTTTTATGCCAATATTCATTTTAATTGGTCTGGGGATTTGAAATTAAAGTTTGCTTTAGAAAATTTTTTATTCATTCATTCATTCATTCATTCATTCATTAAAGCTTTATTCTTTATTCAGGGACTATTTATCAGTACTGGGGTCAAATGAAAAATAAACCAAAATCTTTGCCCTCCAGGTGCTTGGAACAAATACCCGAAGTAAAAATTAAGGGTGGCTTGGAAGAAGGATTTTAATCAAATTTTTAGAATAAGGCCAACTTTAAATTGTGATTGATGACAGTTAAAATTAACTAACTCTGTGTACTTGTTCCCCTCTAATCCTTTTTGGAATAAATATACATCAATAACCACATATTTTTCCATGTGTTTTCCTGAAAAGCTTGCTTTATCAGCATCTTATCCACATGCAGTGTTGGCATGCAAATGTTTTGGTAAAGAATTGTATTTTTCATTTGCAAATGTCTAGAAATTTTATTGTTCAAGACCAGATCTTATGTACAATGCACATACTGTAGTTTGCAATATGATATCAAGGCATCTACCACCAGCTGGACTCAGAGCATTCCAATTCTGGGAAAATATAACATCCTGAATCTGAACTTGCAAATTAGACTTTTTAAGAAGCAGTAATAGGGTATCAGTGGCTGTTGTTAATCTAATACAAATATTTTCATAATATTGACTAATTAAATTGACTTCTTATTAACATGAACAAAGAAAAACGTTTGCATTTTCTTCCCCAAGCCCTTGTTTAACTGAAACCAGGGACCTTGTCTACTCTGTTCACTGTTAAATTTTCAGCAGTGCAAATGACCGTGGCATGTAGCTGGGCTCAATGCATATTTTCTGAATGGTGAATGTATTTTTTAAAAAATATCCTTTTGGCTACTAGGTAAAG